TGTTATTTCTTCTGTATTTTATGTTCCTTGGCTGCTCAAGCTGAGAGCTGCTTGTACCGCAGGTGCGTTCAGCACCCAGTGCAGTGAGGGGCAAATAACGAGGTGGTGTGGCAGAAGCTCACATGGTAGTTTTTCCAAGCACACTCAGTGGGTCCTGTCTGTGTTGTGACAGTGTAGTGAGGGCTGGGGTCTGGCAGTGCCAGCCTCTGGGAGGCATGGAGAAGGGCTACTCCACTGTTGTCATGCCATGAGGAAGGAGCCTGTGTGAACCCCATCTCTGCAGAGGTTGTGTTACCTTTTTTGTCAGCTTGTTGCTTACATACAATCAGTTTGATTGTATCAGTCTGGTGAAAAGAGCCTGTAAAGACTACACAGCCTCACATCAAAGATTTTGGCGCCCCTGTGCTAGCATTTCCAGAAAGACTGAAAATATTTTAGAGCACTTTCTTGCATCACCAAGACATATCCCAAGCAGGATATCACTGTGCACTTGATGGTGCTGCATATGGCAGTGAAGTACAGGATTTAGAGAATGGGCTCCTTCTTTTGCCCAACAAATCTCTTGATGTACTCCAATTCTGTGACACTAGTCCCTGCTAAAGCTGTTGCAGTTTAAGATTGAGCTCTGTGGATCACTTGCATGTGTTAATTCTTCCATCTAATACCTGAATGTGAAGGTTTCTAGCAACATCCTATGACCTGTGTATTACATTATCCCATGACTTGCAGGAGGAAGTAATCAAAACATGTATAATTCCAGAAAGTGCTAATTACCTTTTCATCTGTTTCTGCCTCTTTTTACTTGTGTTCAATAAATGTTGATTATGCAGGGATTTAAATCTGTATTTCAACATAATTTGGTTCATTTGATGTGGATGACATGCCTCACTAAGCCTTAGCTCCAGATATTCCTCCAGCCCTATGTCAAGCACTTCAAGGATGTCAAAAGCAGACATGGAGAATCTGAAGTGCCTGGTCTTAGCACGAATGCCTGAAAGGTCAGGGAGAGGACATTGTTTCAGCAGGTGTCTGGCCTTGGTACTTACTGGTTCGGGAAAACCTGAAAACACAGCACGTGTGTATTGCATATGGACTTCCTTCTTCTGGGGTACTACAGGTGAGTGTGCATGCAGGATGAATCTTTCAGATACTGTGTGATTTTTAATTGCCTCTGATCTTGAGTGGGAAATGTGGCATATTGTAAAGGAGTCCATTTCCCAGGGGATAGGTCTGTAACAATTTCTGGAAATAAAGATTCCTTAAGGTTGCTTCAAGAAGGTCCAGAATCACTGCACTTGGGAAATCTGGATTATAGCATCGTAAGAGGTTAAGACAGACTGAATTTGAACTACTCTGCTCTTGTGAGACTTCACTTGGAGTATTCTGTACAGTTCTGATGTCCTCAACATAAGAAGGACATGGAACTGTGGAGCAAGTCCAGAGGAGGGCCACGAGGATGATCAGGGGACTGGAGCACCTCCCGTATGAAGACAGGCTGAGAAAGCTGGGGCTGTTCAGCTTGGAGAAGAGAAGGCTGCGTGGAGACCTCATAGCAGCCTTCCAGTATCTGAAGGGGGCCTATAGGGATGCTGGGGAGGGACTCTTCATTAGGAACTGTAGTGACAGGACAAGGGGTAACGGGTTAAAACTTAAACAGGGAAAGTTTAGATTGGATATAAGGAAGAAGTTCTTTACTGTGAGGGTGGTGAGGCACTGGAATGGGTTGCCCAGGGAAGCTGTGAATGCTCCATCCCTGGCGGTGTTCAAGGCCAGGTTGGACAGAGCCTTGGGTGGCATGGTTTAGTGAGCGACTTTGGTCTGTGTTCAGAATAGAATCATAGAATCATAGAACAGTTAGGGTTGGAAAGGACCTTAAGATCATCAAGTTCCTACTGCCCTGCCACAGGCAGGGTCACCTTCCACTACAGCAGGTTGCTCCAAGCCTCATTCAACCTGGCCTTGAACACTGCCAGGGATGGGGCAGATAAAGTACTGCTGCTGTGACAGATGTTGATTTAACTCTGGTGCAAAACAAGCAAATAGAAACAAGTTTCCAAAGGTTGTGACCTGAGGCAGGGCAGGGAAAGTATTGTGCCAGAGCTGAACTGCTTTGAGCAGTTTCACCCCAGAGGTGTCTCATGGCAAAGGGGGCAGAAAAAGGACCTACCTATTTAGAGACGTCATTGATCAAAGCAGCATTGGTCTGAAGATAAAGCAAGCGTAATTAGTCTTTTTTGTTGTTATTATTACTGTTGTTGTTATTTCATAGGGCCATTTGATTGCTCCCACGCGTGAGTTGGGGTTTTGTTTTACTCGCATTCAGTGTCGAAGCTGGTGTGAGCCAGCACCAATCTTTGCCAGGCAGTGAAGCCAAGCTCCTTCATGCCTGCTGAGGAGGCTGGCCAGAGGTTGGGCTTCTCAAATCTGCACCCGCGTTCAGAAGCCAACACTTGCGGTTTTGCATGCCAGTCCCCAGGAGACTGCAGGGAAGTGGTGATGGTCCCACCTCACATGCACATAGAGGGTTAAAGGGGCCATGGTGGAAGCCATGGCTGTTCAGGTCACTGTTGCTGGACATTCAGATCAGTCAGGGCAAAACTTGGGTAGTTCGTGGGAAATGCTCTGCTCTCGGAGCTGGGAAATGGCCTGAGCTGCTCAGACCACAAGAGGGGCAAGCACTGGCCCCTTGGTCAAGAAAAAATCTCAGATTTCATGCTTCAAGGTTGCTCATTTGGCAGCTTTCCTGAGAGCGCAATTCCCTTACAGCTATAAGCATACAAATGTATGTGCCCTACAATTACCCTGCTTGGAAATCCCAGTGGAGCTGGAAAATACTTGGAGTAACTTTTTTGCAATGTATAGAGCAGCAAGCATTTCAGGAACAATCTGACTGTGTATTTAAGCAGTCATTACTGCCTTCTGGGTAAATAACACATGTTTTTAAAATGGTCTCTATACACAATAGCCGCTAACACAATAAATCCTAATTGCTCTGAAGGACCCATTAGGCTCTATGGGTCAATACATGGCAGAGTTTTGTTGAAAGTCACTCACCCTGTTGTTACATAAGCCACAATTTGAAAGTCCATAAATAAGTATTTGCCCAATGAAGAGTGAGGGCTTTGCCAGGGCCATGCTAATTTATCATGTCAGCTTCACTATGGGGCTGTTTTCTTTTCAAGGGCCTGTGTAAAAAAAGAAAAAAGAAAGACAAGGAAAAAGAAGCACAACGCGATGTGTTTCAAAACCTGCAGATCTGAAAAGGGCCAGGCTGCAGTGTGCCCCACAAGAAAATCAAACGTAAAGTTCACTGTCTCCTCCCAGTCTCAGCGTTGGACCCTTCCTCATCCTCAACCACCCCTCCTGTGCCTTTAGACCAGGGCCATGCTCCTGCCTCTGCCTTGTGCATGCTGTGGTGCTGGCACCTTGGGGCAGGAACACCACTTTGGTGTACCAGCCTCACAGAAAGGGGTCCCGGTGCCCAGGGAGACCAACAGAAACAGATTATGTAGATTTTATGTGCACTTGTATGTACAGCTGTTGTTGAGTAATAATTGACAAGTCCAGCAAGATGAGTTTCAAATGCAGTCACGCTTTCTGATTTTACTTCAGTCTTACTTATCTGAACTTCACATTTACAAGCTGCAGCACTTGTGTCAGGCATTGCTAAAGTCTGTGTTGCTGTTGGAAATTAGTTTTTTTTGCATTAATTCACTCAGAAGCTGTCTAGTTCCATGTAGCTTTTTGAATATGACTATAGTTTGGCATGGTTTGGTTTTCCTATAGTAAGGTGTGTAATTATAGAGGTATAAATAAAACCAAACAGTATTGGTATAGGTTAGGAATTTCTAGGGAATTTCCACAAGCCATCCAAGGTGAAAAGCATTCAAGTGATTTAAATCTGGATTCCTGTTCCCAGCCCACATTTTAAGTCATTTGGGCACATGAGAAAATGCTTTCCCTTGCTGCTGTTGCTCTTAGGTAGGATCCAGGTGCCAGGATCCCTCTGCAGATGCCATCAATGATTCTTATTCTGCTGTGCTCACAAAGGTCTAAGAGTTGCCCCATCTCCCTACCTTGCAGGTCCCTCCTGCCTGCAGGGCAGCAAGGACTTTGGTCTCTTATTCAGGAGTCCTGCTCCAGGTCCAGTTATGGGAGGTCAGTCTCAGTGCCGAGGTTTGTGATGCTGGCCTTACGACTCGCAGGTGGGAATGCAGACACTTGCCACAGGTGGAAATAGAGGCACAGCTGTCTTGGTGCAGCATGCAACCGTGTCCTGTGTGTAAGGGTAGTATCAGCCTCCTTTTGTACCAGTACATGGTGGGTCTGCTGTGCTGGAGCTGGCTGGGGGCTGCACCATAATGCCAGATGTGCTGGTTGTCCATCCCTGCACCCCGGCAGGTGGTAAGGCCTGGTGCAGGTCTTGTGCTGCTGCAAACACCCCTGTGGTCCCCAGCACCCCTCACTCGAGCAGTTCATTATGAGGGCTCACAGCTAATTCGAGCAGCACCTAAGCTTGCACAGCCTCCAGTGGGGGTGATAGGGACCAGCACCAGGAGCTCACAGTCACCTGCACTGAGCCCCCACTGCTCCCTTCTCTGGGGCCAGGGACTGGTCAGCAGTACAAACAGAACTGGGATCTGCTGTTCCAAGCAGGAAGGGTCGAGGTCCAGGGGCAGCATGCTGGTACTGCAGCAGGAGGGGCAGGAGGTTCCTGCCCTGCTTTGGTATAGGCAAGATCAGTGTGCCCCGTCTTTATCCTTGCCCAGAGCCTGGGCTGAAAAGCTCTTTGCAAAAGTCCAGGAGTTCTCTAACAAGAGCAAGGGCAATAGCTAGTCTTTACAAAGGGAGCTCGCCTGGTCCTTTTCTAAAGTCTGTCAGAAGTCACAGTGTCCTCACAAAGGCTGTTTGTGCAGGTGAACAGAGCAGGCTGACAACACAGCAGTGGAAGAACCAAATACAGAAATACTTTCCTCTTCTTCACTTTCTGCTTCTACCAGGAACCACTGCCCTGCAACTGGAAATGCCTCAACAGGTGGAACTTATGTCTGTGAGGGCACGTATATTATCAGCCTATATCCTGTGGGTTGGAGCCATGAGCAGGGACTAGCTGGACTTCTGAGCAGACCTGTCTAGTGTGATGGAGTTTCATGAACTCCTCCACACATGGATTAAAGGTAAAGCCATTTCCTAATAATTTGTAGAGTTTTTAATAACAACAGCATGGTTTTAGGGGCATGAAACAGTTTCTGTTTTGTTGTTGGGTACGACAGGTTTTGTGCAGGCACAGCTTGTGTCACCAGTAGTGCTGGATGCACTTAAAGCACTGTACTCTCTCATACTGCACTGTAGAGGTTAATAACAAGCCTATCAACTGTAGTTGCACTTACACCATATTCAGTCCTGTTCTGGCTGTTCTGCTGTGTATTCATGAAAACAAAAAGGAAGCAGAAGCACAGAGCAAGCCAACAGATGTCTACCTGGTTTTTAATTGGGTTTTATGTGTCTCCAGTGTAGCCAATATAGCATTATTTACAGCCAGGCTCTAAGAATTAGGTACATCTGGAGGAGTGGTGAAACCTGAACCAGGCTACAAGAGTTGATAGATTAGCTGAAATGGAGAACACCCCCATTTCCCCTTGTTATCTTCCCCCTTGCCACCTCTATACCTGTTCCTCATTGTGTGTCAAATCAAACCAAGATACTGCCCAAGGGAACGCTTGAAAAATGGAAACTACCAGCAGAAAAAGAGAATTTCTGCTCTCGTGGAGCTTCATCAGCATTTTCTAATTGTACAGCAATGATGATAATAAAAAGGCTGCCCTCTGCTTTCAGCTATAACTTAGATAATCAACTGAAAGCCATAATGAAACTGTGATTGCTTTCTGCTGGGCTGCTAGTCCACAGAAACTCCTTGTTGGGGAGAATTAAAAGTTATAGATCCTGCTACAGGGATATGCCACTGTGCTCCAGAGGCACATGTGACTGGTAATTCTCTTCTCTGCAGTTTTATTACAGGCAAAACTTGCAGCATAAAGCAAAGAGGTGTAGGGACTTGAGCCTTTTTTTTTTTTTTTTGCCTTTTTCTTTTAAACAAAAAGTTGTTCAGCATCAAGGTCAGCAGTGCCACACGATATGCGCATCTAGGCTGGGTGGACTTGTAGACACAAAGGATTTTGGAGGAGGGAATGAGATCTCTGGCCTTAAAATCCCTGGGGACTTTGGTGTGTGCTAGCAGCAGTCAGTGCTCGTAGGCGCAAGGGCCACCGGCCACAGGGCAGTAGTCAAGCCAGGTTTTACCTCTGTGTGGAAGGCAGGGGCTAAGTCCTGCCCTGAGTCTTTGCTTTCTGGGCGCTGGGGATATTTGGGGTGTTGGTGTTCTGCAGCACCAGGGCTGAATGTGAGCTGTCCCTGTACATGATGTGCTGTGGGTATGTCTTGACTAGCAAATCCAGTGCTGTATGTGAGCACTCTGGTCTAACTTGCCCTTCCATCCCCATCCGCTGAGGAGGAGTGGCAAGCTCCTGTGCAAGGGCTTGGAGGCAGCCTTTCTGCTTGGCCAGAATGAGGGTGCTGCCATAGCGGGCGCAGCCTGTGAGTCCCACATCTGGGTTCTGAAGCAAGTGTTCCCTTGCATGCCCTGGATGTGCCCGGAAGTCTCCGAAATACGGGCTGTAACTTCGGTGTTCGCTCGTGCAGGAGCTCGGGCTCCTCACATGAGGCAGCCGAGCGCGATCCACGCGGTCGCTCTGGCAGAAGCCCGCGTGTCCCGGGGCTCTGGGGAGGGCTCTCTGCCCCGGTCGGGGTCTCTCGAAAGCGCCGGGCTCGCCCGCTTGGTTGCTGAAACGCCTCCCGCGGCCCGCGCCGGCCGGAGCGCAGGAATGCGGCAGCGCCGCCGCCCGCTCCGTGCCAGCTGCGCGGCGCGGCAGAGCCGGTTCCCCTCCTTCCCGCGGAGCCTCCGCGGGGCCGGAGGCGGGAGCCGGGGCGCGGGCAGCGGCAGGGGGAGCTAGAGGGAGATGCTGCCGCCACCCTTGTACTGGGGCTCCAGCACGGTTACCGGAGCAAGGCAAAGGCGGGACAGGACCCGTGCGCGGCTCCGCCGGCCCAGGGCTCCCCTTTTGCCCCGTCCCGTTACGGCGGGGTGAGGCCCCTTTCTCTCGGAGAGGGGCTGAAGGCTCCGACAAGCAGGGGTGAAGCGGCACGACCGCAGGCACCGCCTCCTCCTCCTCCAGCCGCTGCCCCCGTCCCGCTCTGCCCTTCACGCCCACAGGGGCGAGCGGGGCCCTGCACGGACGGGGCGCGGGCCGGAGCTGCCGGCGCTCAGGCAGCGCCGCCGCCGGTTGGGAGCGCGGCGGGACGCGGAGTCCCGTGCGGGGCGGGCCCACGAGCGCTCCCGAGGCGGGGCCGCGGAGGGGGGCGTGCCGCGGGGCGGGGCGCGGGCGCGGCGCGGCGCGGGGCCGCCCGGCTGCCCCAGAGCGCAGGTGGCGGCGGCGGCGGTGGAGGTCCCGGTGCCAGCCCCGGTCCCGGTGCCGGTCCCGCTGCCGGCGGGGCCCCGGTTCCGGCGCGGCGGCTGCAGGTGGCCGGGGCATGCGGCTGCGGTAGGACGCGCGGCGGCCATGGGCGGCCGGGGGCTGCCGCTGCTGCTGGGGCTGCCGCTGCTGCTGGGGCTGCCGGCGGCGGGGCGCGCCGCCTCCAAGGCGCTGGTGTGCCAGGAGATCACGGTGCCGATGTGCAAGGGCATCGGCTACAACCTCACCTACATGCCCAACCAGTTCAACCACGACACGCAGGACGAGGCCGGGCTGGAGGTGCACCAGTTCTGGCCGCTGGTGGAGATCCAGTGCTCCCCGGACCTGCGCTTCTTCCTCTGCAGCATGTACACCCCCATCTGCCTGCCCGACTACACCAAGCCGCTGCCCCCCTGCCGCTCCGTCTGCGAGCGGGCCAAGGCAGGCTGCTCGCCCATCATGCAGCAGTACGGCTTCGCCTGGCCCGAGAGGATGAGCTGCGACAGCCTGCCGGTGCTGGGGGACACCGAGGTGCTCTGCATGGGCTACAATCGCACGGAAGCCACCACCCTGCCACCTTTCTTCGGGAAGCCCACGCGCCCGGCCAAGGATGCAACCAAAAACCTGGTTCCTCTTGATGGGCAGCGCCCCTCGGGGCTGGACTGTGGCCGGACGTGCAAGTGCAAAGCGCCTCTGATCCCCATCAACAAGGAGTCCCATCCGCTGTACAACCGCATCAGGACGGGGCAGGTACCCAACTGTGCCATCCCCTGCTACCAGCCCTACTTTACCCAGGACGAGAAGACTTTCACCACTTTCTGGATCGGTCTCTGGTCCATCCTCTGCTTCCTCTCCACCTCCACCACTGTGGCCACCTTCCTCATTGACATGGAGCGCTTCAAGTACCCCGAACGCCCCATCATTTTCCTCTCTGCTTGCTACCTCTTCGTCTCTGTGGGCTACATCGTGCGGCTGGTGGCAGGGCATGCCAACGTGGCTTGCAACCCGGAGCACCACCACATCCACTATGAGACCACAGGCCCTGCCCTCTGCACCGTGGTTTTCCTTCTCCTCTACTTCTTTGGCATGGCCAGCTCCATCTGGTGGGTCATCCTGTCCCTCACCTGGTTCCTGGCAGCTGGCATGAAGTGGGGCAATGAGGCCATCGCCAGCTACGCACAGTACTTCCACCTGGCTGCCTGGCTCATCCCCAGCGCCAAATCCATTGCTGTGCTGGCGCTCAGCTCCGTGGATGGTGACCCGGTGGCTGGGGTTTGCTACGTGGGCAACCAGAGCCTGGAGAACCTGCGGGGCTTTGTGCTGGCACCGCTGGTGGTTTATCTCTTCACTGGCAGCCTCTTCCTGCTGGCTGGCTTCGTCTCACTCTTTCGCATCCGCAGTGTGATCAAGCAGGGCGGCACCAAGACTGACAAGCTGGAGAAGCTGATGATCCGCATCGGCATCTTCACCATGCTCTACACCGTGCCTGCCACCATCGTCATCGCCTGCTACATCTACGAGCAGCACAACCGGGAGGCGTGGGAGCAGGCGCAGAACTGCTCCTGCCCGGGGGATCCCCACCGCCCCAAGCCTGACTACGCCGTCTTCATGCTCAAGTACTTCATGTGCCTTGTGGTGGGCATCACCTCCGGTGTCTGGATTTGGTCTGGCAAGACGCTAGAGTCCTGGAGGCGCTTCACAGCCCACTGCTGCCGGGCCAGGAAGCCAGCGGGAGCCTCTGTGTATGGTGAGGCCAGCCCAGCGCTGGCCGGCAGGACGGTGCTGCCCAGCATGGCCTCCTACCACAAACAGGTCCCGCTGTCCCACGTGTGACCGAGGGAGCCTCGATGACCCCAGCCACAGGGAGAAGAGGGTTACAAAGACCCTGGGCCACAGAAGAGGGGCTGGCAGCTGGGCTACCCTGGCATACTCAGCCCCTGTATGGTAGTGCTTCCTGGGACCAAGTGTGGATGCCCGCAGGGCACGGAACAGCCCCAGGCAGGGCAGGGCGAGGTGTTCCCAGCAGTGTAGGGGCAGAGGGGCACGGAAGCCTGGAGCCCGGCACCATGGTGTCTGCCTCATTTGGGGTCCCATGTCCTGCCTGGGGTCCGAGGGTTCTGCTGCCTATGGGTCAGTCAGATGGCAGGCAGCCCTTGAGCACTGATTTGTTTCCCACCGGGAGCCTCTGGGCAGGTTTTGCTGGTGCTGGGTGAAGGGGAGAGCTGCAGCAGGCAGGGCAGGTGGTGTCCCCAACCCCGGGTGATGCTGGTGCTGGCACTGGCACCGAGCAGCTCACTAGAGCCTGGGGGGGGGGGGGTGGGGGTGGTGAGGGGGGCCCGGGGAGAGCTGGTAGTGGGGGCTGCCTTCCTGCTGGGCTGCAGCAGGACGGTGCCCCTGCAGCCCCCGGGGCCCCGGTACAGCTCCGTGTTGTGGAGGAACAGGACGGAGGGAGCTGTGTGACCAGGGACTTCACAGGCAGTGGTGGGGCAGGAGGGAGGAGCTGCCACCCAGCCCTCGAGGCGGGCAGGGATTGGGGTCCCAACTGCCTGCAGCGCAGGTGGGAACCAGGCAACCCCAAGGTCCCTTCTCCCGCATGCCGGCTCTCCCCGGGCAGGGGCTGGTGCTGGTGGGGCTCAGCTCGTGGCACCGAATCCCAGGTTCAACCAGTG